TTTGCCCAATGCTACCGCAGCAGAATGGTTTCTGAGCTGTTCAATCGACAGATAATTCTCTCTCTCTCCCTTTGTTATTCTTTCTCTGCATATACACAAACACACACACACAGAAAAAGATGGAGACTTATAGATTATATACAAATTAAAGCTAAATTATGTTATATAACCTGTGACGTATATAACATAGACTATGTGTACATCTGTTACACACAATCATATCTTCATATCGATATTTTCAACTCAGATTCCGATTTGGTACGAGATGGTTCTTTACCCTTTTTAATTCTTTTATTTTTACATTTGTTTCTCTCGCCTCATATATTGAAAACTTTGGATTCTAATGTTACTAACCTCTTATTTGCTTTATTCTACAACCTACACAAAATATTTCCCAATGTCAACAAAAAACTCCTGAGATCAATTTAAGATTTTCTTGAGTTATTTTTGTTCTTAGAAACTATGCCACCCAAAGATGTACGGGTGGAGTCCTCTGTGCAAAAGACACTTGAAATTATTCCTTTATACTGTATGGGTATGTTATCTAAGGGATACGCCATTCAGTTAATTTTTTACAGCTTTTAGTTGGGAAGACGAGACATGTGCAATTTGTCTTGCACAAGGATCCAAGGACAGCTTGCTTCCGCGCCCTTTTGTGATTGCCTGTGTCATTATCACAGCTATTGTTCTGTCTTTTGCTCCTAAACTAAAGTGTCTTCTCCTGCCACAGAGCTGGCTATGAAAAATGTTAAGCATTAAGTATTCCTACATCAATTTTAAAAAGTCCTTCATCGTTATAACTCTTGAACCATATCTAGAAGATTGGATTCACATGTATAAAATTGCCACTGGGAAAGACTTGACCGCGGGGAAGGTGGAAAGAATCAATGGAGAAAAAGTAAATGGAAAGAGCTACAGCTTGAGAGAAAGGCAGCCCTGCTGGGACTGTTTAGAGGGCGGCAGTTCGGTTTTGGACATCCAGGAGGGGGACAAGAGGCTGGGGGAACCTGCATCCGAACCCTAAAACGTCTGAGGGCACGATCAGCTCAAAGAATGGGAAAATGCATCTACCCCACATTAGAAAACAACACTAACAACAACTGACTCTTACGTAGCAATTAGTGTTTTAACCATTTATTTCCGTTAGCTCACATAATCCCTCTGACAACCCAGTGCGGTAAGTCCTAGGAATAATTTACCAATGAAGAAACTGAGGCAGAGTGCAATTTTGGAACCTACCCAAGATCTTAGAGACAGTAAGAGGCCAGAGTCAGGATTTACACACAGAAGTTCTGGGCCAGAATCCAACACACCATAGTATCTTTCCCTGAGAGCCAGGCATTTGGCTGTGGAAAGTTAAAGAATTATTCCAAACAAACAAGTGAGATTCTCTACTGCCTGTGTAAAATGGCAATGGGGACTACTGAGACAGCCCTCAAACCACATTTTCAATTCCAGGTAAG